ATAGCCAATGTAAAGCACGTAGTCAAACCATTTCATTACTGAGAGTCAGTGTTATGGATAAGTGGGGGTTGAACCAAACGAAATCACTATGAACAGGACGATCACAGTAAAAAGGGGACAAAATCTAGAGATAATGATTCCTTTATATACATACGCATATCTGGGGTATGAATGAGTATTTGCTTACTCAGAAGCAAATCACTATTGTGTTGAAAGAAGTCATACTGAAACAGGTTGAAAAAACATACAAATACAATGACGCAATAACAAGTGTAAAGTGTTAAATAAGGGCTAGAAATGACTACTAGTAACACACTGTCCTGATTGATGAAGACAATGACAAAATATAGTCTTCACAACGTGCTGAGCTGAAATCTGAGTATGTTTAGTATGCATCTACCACCTGTCAAATATAAGACGATGCTCCAGGACTGATCTGCTGCAACTACTCCCAGTTTAATGATAGGGAGTGAAATGTGTCGACTATTTTACTTACTTGGGGAGTTACATCAGCCTGAAGGGAATACCAGATCAGATAACGAAGGACCGTTTGGCATTTGCCAACTAGCGTCATCTGTGGCACCAGCTGGTGAGATATCCAACTATCTATCAAAGTATGAATATTATTATTCGTCCCTTGGGTTCCCAGTGGAACACAGGGCTTCAGCATACTGCGCTGCAATCCGTTGTCCTGTTACATGGCTGCTGCAAGTAGAAGACATGAGACGACTGCACGGTTTTGACCACAGATTTCTTCGTACCATTGATCACACGGTGATTCCAGCAAATGACAGTAATATTGACATCAGGCGAAAGGTATGAGGCAAGACAGGCTAGCAAGTCGATTGATGAGGTTGTGAGCCTCAGTCGACTGAGATGGCTTGGATGTGTACTGCGCATGTCGAGCCATGTGCCATGGTATGGGAAGTTGGATTAGGTTGGAAGTGTTTAGGGTGGACAGACCAAGACGTAACACCAGTTCATCAAGTCTCTTGCTGTTTGCCTGAGTTCTGTAGGGTGACGTAGACTGTCCGGTTGGGGTCCCTGAGACGAAAGGAATCAGTGGTTGAAGACCATTAATGACATGGCTGAAAATCGGTCAAAGGGCGCGATGTATTCACTCCTCGGCTTCTTTTAAAGCTTGAATATTCGCGCTAACCTTCCCCTTCAGCTTTTTTCTTCTCACACCACTTTAATATCACTCTTTTTTTCACCATCACTACTGTGAATTGTGAAAAGTTGAGCCGATGTACATGTGTGCGAGGTGGTGAGGCCTGAATTTCGAAGTGATCCGTAGAGCGACGGTGGCTGAAACTAATTTTCCTTGAGTTCCTAACATGGCAAAAAGATCCATCGGATAGCGTTAAGGATGACTGGAAGCGTGTAAGCGGTTGGAACTTCCCAGCTGCCACACCACGGAAGGCTATTTATTGTCACCCTACGGGTCATTTGCTTAAGGACTGCAACACACGGCCTTTTGTAGATTGTTTTCATGTTCTAACGCCGGATGGATAGAACCCATACCGCCAGAACTGGAAAACCGTAGGGCAGGATGTGTTATTTTCGTGGTCAACATTTTCTGACAATCCCCTCTTCCCGTTCGGAAGGTAGCATCAGTGTGGCACTGCTGTTCACCCAAGGGAAACACCTTATTGCTGTCACACCCCATCAAGCTAACAGCGGTACGACTTCACCCACAGACTCCCATCATAGTGTACCAATCTACACAGCAACGGTAGTTGCTTTTCCTCTTACCACTATCCAACAGACCTTCCTGGCATGGTAGGACCTAGAAGGAACAAACGTTCCACCAGCATAACTCGCCAGGTCATTGTGATATGCAAGCCCGACCAGCACGTCAAGGCAGTAGCTATTGGTCGGGAGCGTTAAGACTAGAAGCAGTTTGAAGGTGACGTTGTACTGATGGATTGAAAGGGTGTGACAACAGCAACGCGTTCCCCGCGGACGATAACCTATGCTGCCTCCTCCATAGGGAGAAGGGGTTAGTAAATGTTAATCCCAAAAAAGACTTCTCCCCACCCTATGATCATACGGTACTGGCGGTAGCACAATCGAATCTCAATCCAAAACTGCTAAACAAGATATGGGACACCAAACACAAGCAGGCTTTCCTTAAACTTTGTAGTTACGCACCTTTGGATCTGTAAAATTTACTTCACTAGCGTGTGAAAATCTGATGGATAGTTCCCGTGAACTCGTTGGTGAAGATAAAGAAATAGGTTTTACAGCAGAAGACACACCTCTCGACTGCAGACTGGTCGATAGCCACCTGAGTAAATGTATTTATAAAACATTGCTATACCCATCGATGCCAATTCGTAGTCTCCGGTTACACGCACATAGATTGCAACATGGATGATGCAAAAGGTAAGTTCCACCAAAAGCTTTCAATACTACGTACAGCGAAACCCTCAGATAGTCATGCTAGCAAGCGACTTCAACGTCTACTTAGTGGAGCTTACTGGAAAGGAGTCTAGGGAGTATGTACAACAGCAACGAACAGACAACGGCGTTTGTTTCTTACAGTTTTGTTTTGACATTCGCCTGATCCTGGCTACTATTGACTTCAAGTATGAGGAGGAACATCCCATCACTTAGTTTCAGCCAATAGTAAGCCAGGGGTGGAAATAGATTGCACAGATCCCTATCAGCCATTGTATGTGGATTGCTACCTTTTCCGAATTACTTGCATAGACTCCGATCACGCGTTAGTACAGACGAGTGTACTCACGTCTTAATGTATGCAGGAAACAATTGCAGTAAAGTGTCTGTGCACTCAGCTAGAAGATAGAAACGTCAAATGCGTATTTAGGAAGGATATAGCATAGCAATTATCTGGAGACGGGAGAAATCCTGTTTTTTATGAAGTCCTGCATAATATTCCATCTACTGCTCAAACACCGGTAAAGACAGTTGCTGACCTTCAAACAAGGGTCAGCAAGAGTCAGTAGATTTCCGCAACCGAATCCGAAATTACCGATGCGAGAAGACTCCCTTCAGCCGCCTCAGATCATAGTGAAGAGTGAAAGCAACATGAAACTCAGCTTAAAGAGGAATTAAAGTCTAAAAGTCACTCGATAGAAATCAAAGTGTGAGTACTGCTGTTCGAAAATAAATAATCAAGCGCATAGTACTGATAACTAAGCAGAAGCTTCCCAATAATTGTACATATTTATAGACAAAACAAACGGAACCCATCATTATGATGAAGTTGTGCTCTGATTGTCCTCAAAATTTACTGTATTTCTCAACAAAACTATAACAATCTAACAGTCATGTAATAGTTTGTACGGTTTTACGCTACATCAATCCTTTAAAGGTAAGAAACCACTGAAACCATTGCATCGACTGTACATCACCGACTTTTACAACTGCCATTACGATAAGAAAACTGTCAGTCATTAGAAAAGAAATATTAATGTCATTAGTGTGTCATTAAATGCCCTTCACAAAACCATTAGACATTCATATGATAAAGTACAGTTATCAGTAATAACTAGACAGAAACAGAGAGAAAAACTATAAACTGTAAACAACAGTTGACGGGGGGTTACCTAAAGAACAAAAAAGTGAAGGAAATATATGCTGCACTATGTGACTAGTGCAATTAAACGGGAAATTACCTCCAATACAATTATAAAGGATGTAAAACGATATATTATTGTTACAACTTGTTACACAGTAAGTTATGCTTTAAACTGGGAAGAATAAGGAAATGTGACGCATTTTCATTAACAAAAGAAGTGAATGTAATCACTAACTTTTTAAAACAGATAGGATGCTCTATGAAAAATTGAACCTCGTTAAGCATTTTTTTTTCCCAAAAACAACGATTATTATATATAATGCGTCTGTGGAATTGGATAACAATGTAGGCTAGGACATAAGACAATATGATGTGTGAATAAAGTATAAAACAGGCAAAAATGGCATATAGGAAGGGAAAAAGAAGGATCATGCAGCTTTCGCATGTTTTACAATTTCAATTTTTATTCACAAGAAGAACAAAAAGTTACTTTGGAAAAAAATATATCGTTGTTCATAGAAGTTGGGACGACATGTTACTAGATTTGGTCGACTGATTACGTCAATCACTGAGTTTTTTCTTTTCGACCACCACCAATAACTGGGATCTTTTCCAGTTGCGTTTTTATTCTGTAAATACAAAATTGACAAGCATTTACCATACTTCTATTGATGGTAATGATAACATAATTTCTTAACAAACTAGGAATATATTTCATATGGCAAAAGTATGAAAATATACCATAACTTCATCAGTTGTTTACAGATTCGACCGCTGTATACTTGTAAAATAAACATGAATTCAGTCCAACTACAAGATGGTCACCGATATATAAACAGTACAGTCTCTCTCTAGGTTTTCTTTTGCTGTGTATAGAAAAATACAAGCACAAAAACTCAGAATGTTACAATGTTAAGACAATAAAGCGCATAACGCTGAAGAATAGCAGCTATACACCATTATGAACTTGGATCCTGAAACAGAAATCCTACGTCTCAAGTTATTTCTAACTGGCTGACTTCAACAATCTAACCAAGTCTACTTTCAAATGCAGAACAACAGAGAGACATAACAACAACGCTATCATATCTATTCAGTCATTTAAGAATAGCTTAGGTGTTCACCTTCATTGAACAGATCGGTCGAAACTGTTCACATTCATGATATTAAAGCGCCTTGATTTTTTTGAGAAACCAATAATGGATTGAAATGATGTATTAATATTTGCACTCGTTTAGCTGAGAACTCTGGTCTATATTAAGTTCAATTTACCACTGAAATTGACCACTTCGAAGGTAATAGTTATTTGATATTAGGATTTATAAAACCAATCGAACAAAGTCCTACAGTCAAGAAGCGAAAATATTTCTCGATAATAGTAGTGATTAAGAAAATAAATGAAAGAGAACTTACTGCGATGATACCATGACTAATTTCGATTTTGCTAATTCAATCATTTTATCAATCTCCGGCTAGATGTTTGGAAACAAACAATATAAGTGTTAAGGAATAAATAAATTCACATCTTTATAACACAATAAGTGCTAAAATTTTAACATCAATCCTACAAGGTATACTAATTAACCACAATTTCAACAGAATGAAACCAAACCGCCCTAGAGCTCGAAATGTCACTTTTTTAAACACAACATAATACCTAGGAGTATGGTAAATTCGTACAACATCAGACAATCTCTATTTTATGAAACTTGAAGTTTATAATCACTGGTTGTCAATATCTCAAAAACTTCATAAATGTAGCCGACACCGCTTGATATGATTAAGGTACGCATTCAATGATTTCATGAGTGGCTGGTACATCAGAGTTACCTTTGGCTTTCTTCCAACTTAATTTTAATCCAATTAGTATCATGATCGTAGCAGACGGAAGCTTGACATTTGTAACATCTCCAAGTCACCTTAGTAAGTACAGTTTCATAATCTCCATGTTTGAGCTAAGTTTCCTGGTAGCCACTACACATCCAACTTCAACAGTGGTTACGCATACGGAGCTAATGCTGCGAACATTATCAGAAATTGGCACTCTTGTCACATCTTTCACTATTGATTACTATGCCTGACAACTGTACAAGATATAGTGGAATGTCGCACAGCAAAAACTTCGGAAAGGGGTTCTTCGACTTGCAGTCGCAAACCTTGCCTATCCCAGACATAGCATGTACGACCTGACGATAAATAGGTTTTCTATCTTTGTTAGGGAGTTTCGTCAGAGAATAGTTCATTAGGGTTGATGCGACTCCCACCAATTAACCCCTTTATCCTTAAACAAGGAGTTAACGTAGACCAATCGCGAGGCATAATCTCTTATTTGTGACAGACACCATATGTATGTTAAACATACTCAAACATTCGTTTTAAAACGTTCAAAAGACATTGTATTCTGTCCTTGTTCTCATGTAACAAACCTATGTTGTTTGAATACACTGGGTCGAGTACATGCTCAGTCTGAGCGACTTCTAAAAAACTAAAGGTAATTAGGGTATATCTTTAATAAACTCAAAAGCAAAGTTGATTTCGAATAATGAGAACAGTGAAAACGATAGCAGCGTTATATTTGAAGCATAAAAATAAAGCGCATGAATTTAGTTTCGAAACCAGACAAAGTTCAATGCTAGGCACTTGTATGTCAGTAAATAGGAAACTTGCAATCCAGAGAAATGTGCATGAAATACCTGTCCAATTGTAATGACGAAGTACAGGAGTGACTCTACAGCTGTTAGTCAACCATCTATCCAAATCAACATAGGACCAGGTATTACTGAGTAACGGTCCGAGCTGCCACACTTCATATCAGTACATCAAGTGAAAAGGCAGTGAAGTGGAAGTTAGAAAAAAGAAAATTCAGTCAAAATAAATATACAGAAGAGAAAGGAAGAATGAGAAAATGGTGAGATTCGGTATAGCGTCGTTAAGATGAGGATGATGTGTGTATACATCTGCGCCACTGAAGTCGGTTCTCAGCCATATCACCTAGACTCCCCAACCACCTAGTCCGTATCGCCCCACATGGCTCAAACCAAAAGTCAAAGATCTCATACAATGGTGTCATGTTTTAGTCTGGCTACCTCAGGCCTTTTTCCAGCCTGAACCTACTTCGGCCAACATTGTGTGACTAGGCATACGTAACACGTGTCCCAACCATCTCAGTCGATGAAGGTTCACAGCCGTGTCAACTGATTTACCTCTTCTCCCTCAAACTTTATGCCTGACTTCTGCATTACTCACGTGGTGACACCACGGAATACTGCCTATACTACGAAGGCAACGGTGGTCAGACACCTGAAGCCTTCTCATGTTTTCTACCTTCAATGGTCATGTTTCACAGCCATACAGCTGTTAGCGCATCAAATAGTTATAGATTTCATCACAGACATTTAAAATATAACCTCGACGGATAGCTTACCTGATAGTGTTCATAAACTTTGGTACACAGAAGACACCAAAAGTGACTAAAACAAGGATATAAAAAAAGTTGAGTAGTTGTAAATTCGGGAAATGATACGAACAAAATATCAAAAAATTTAATGACAGGTTCCAGTGGAAACACTACGGTCTATGAAAATGTTAGTAATATTTTAAATGAATACGAAATTTGATAAGGTGTCTTTTAAGACAAAATTAATTAGAACGAATCAATAAGACACAATGATGTTGCAGGGGACAATAACCTTTTTCAGGGTCATTCACACTAGGACAATAAGTCAACGATCATTTGATAATGAGGTACAAGCATTTTTAGTGCAAAGATAATACTCTACGCTATAGTACTCAAATGGTGTCTTTAACTAAAAATTTAAAACGTTAAAGAAAACTAGGGAAATACGACCATTTCCTGAAAATTCGACCCAGAAACAACGAAAACCTATAATACATTTTTAATCATACCGTATAGGAAGGTTTTAATGTACGCAGAACAATAAGTCTGGTTCCAGAAAGTCGCTTCCTGTATGACTGGTTCGAAAGGTCATTTAAAAAAGCCATTGTACACACACAAGTTTCTAACTTTTCCATCATTAATTATCATTTGACTATCTGAGAAAACCGTAGTTTGGCAGACTAGTATTTATACTGGATGATGATTGAAAGTAAAATGAAAATTTGGACCGCGGTCGGATTCGAACCAGGGACCTCGCAGCTCAGTTGGTAGAGCACCGGGCTGGTCACCCGGTGGTCGCTGGTTCGAACCCGGCCACAGTCCAAATCTTCCACCACTAGTTTGGAGCAGTTCAGTTTTTTTCCACCGTCTTACTTCTTACTTACTAGCAGTTGAGTTGGGATTCCGACGAACGGGATTTTGAAGTTCATTCTAGTGTATCCGTCACAGCGTGGCTTACTGTACCGCACTGAGTCAATTTCTCAATGTGATGTTTCTGGTAGTTTTTACGCACTACCCGATTCTGTAAAGGCTGATGGTGAGTGGTATCAACATTTCATTTTACGGAAGAAAAATCATGTGGTAACTAAGACTCTCTATTAATACTGACGGGATGTCTTAAATGAATTGATAAAAAACAGTATGTACTTACTAAAAATGGAAAACCATCACCGCACAAAATGAGTAACTTACACAAAGTGCATATCGTCAAGAAGTTGAACTGAGCGCCAATGTACGTCAGTAGATATAGAAGCACAGCGAACTAAGGAGATGTACAAAGATGTTGTTATCGCGTTAAGTTATATTCAACTAAGAAATGCATATGTGCAAAGACACATTTCCATAAAGTCATAATGGCAATCTATAAACGATGGTTATTAAACCCTACTTAGAATGATCCTTAAACAGTATGTACTTTGAGATCAGCAAACTGAACACAACTTTCGTATTCTACTAACACAATACTACACCAATACGAAACGATAAGACCGCTTCAATCGTTCAACAAAATTAAAAGTGAACAACATTACAGGTTCAAATGTAAAAATAATGCGTATATTATACTGGTCGTCATAACCCTTGGGAAACGGAGTGCTGATTGACTTAGTCGAGAAAAAAATACCAGTTATGTAGGGATTATATGAAGCTTATGAGAATGTGACATGAGATGAACGATGTAATTTAAATATCTGGCTATATATGTTTTGTACACAAATAAAGGCAGAGAAATGTCCAAGATCATACATAAAACAGATTACTATTAAACATATGGTTTGCAGACTTGGCGAGTTACGAAAAGCATTTCTAACAAACTACAGACATTCATCAACAGCTGCCCCTACGCTCACTCGATACTGACACTGAAAATCAGATGGCCAAAAAAGAATAAGCAACAAGGAACTCTGGCCTACCAATGAACCAACCAAGAACCCATCGCCCAACAAATATACAGAAGAGAGTGGAGATGGGTATGGCATAACTTTGAGAAGACCATTTGAGGACATCACGCGCCAGGTCAGGCTCTCGAGTGGAACCCGAATTGGAAACGATGAGTCGGGCGTTGGAGTCGAGGGTGACATGGAGGAGATCGAGCAAGGAAGAAATGAAAGCTTGTGGGCAGTGGTGGAGCCAGGTTGAAAAGACTACAGAGAAGAGAGTGAAATGGCGACGTGCTACTGAAACCTTATGTTTCACTGGGAACCCAAGGGACAAACAGTAATAATATTAAACACATGATTATACTAATAAAACAAAATGACTGAGCAATTGACGAAATCAACGTAGAACCTCGCACACAGGCGAATCGGCTCAAGTTGCAACACTTTACAGTACTACACAAAGAATAGGTGGATAGAAAGAGAGTGATATCAAAGTAGACGAAGTTGTATGAGAAAATAAACAATCTGAATATAGAGATTAGTGGAAATATTCAAGCGAATACAGCTGTGATTGATTTTCAGTCATGTCACTAACAGTCCTCAACCACTGATTTCTATCGTCTCGGGGACCCTAACCAGGCAGTCTACATCATCCCACATCGCTCAAGCTAACAGTAACAGAATTCATCGACTGGTGACGAAAAAATAAAATGACATATCTAGGTGGTGAAAATCCTTTCATAATATCAAACTACTACATGTGATACACGAAAAAAAAGCGTTCTTATTTTTCAATATGATTCCACATAAACTAGTGTTACATTTGACAAAAATGTCATCTATAAAAACAGATAGATATAAGTAACCATGTGATGCAATTTTGGATTAAAACCAATAACGTAACAACATTAACTTCTTAAATGAAACTAGACAGATAGAAAATTCAAAATCCACATGGATCAAACACAAAATCTGCAGCTGTACAAAACCGATGCATACAACGTCCAAGTGCATCAAGATATTGGTATTAAACAATACTGACGATTTTGAACAATGAAGCTAAAGTAGCAACCCTTATGGGGAGTTATCTGGGTCAAATTCCAGAACGACACATTTAGGTAATACTTATATCAACGTGAACTTGAATTCATGAATAGTTTAATCTGCCTGTTAAGAATGAACATTTGCAGAACTAACGATAAAAACGCTACACAGTGCTTAGAAATTACAGTGGGAACACATTAGCACAGTCATTCTAAATAGCATCAACATAAAGTGAATAATACACTTTTTTTAAAACATACTTTTACAGATGCAGCAGGATCAGTGAGTAGAAATATTTCTCTGGTGCGTATCAGTCCTTTATTCACAACTTCAGTCAGACGTCGTGAAACATTAGCTGCTTTATCTTCTGGTACAGTAATTTCGCGTTCCAAATATTCTCTATATTGATATGAAGTAAAACCATTCACAACAAGTAAAACTGATGAAATTAATTACATTTATAGTAGGAGAATTAAGGAACTTTGTGTTTCATACATAAACTGATAAAAATTCATATGAAAATATAACGAATACAAGTGTGTATGAATTTCAATTATTGGATGTACATGAATAGTTGGAATGTTAATCATCTATGACTCCATTACACTTGTTCTGCTATCTACTAACTGGCAACCTATTTTAACTATAAACTTCCTTGAGTCAATATAAATCTAAATATGTCTGAATAAAAGTGTACACGCTACCTGTCGAAGGTATTTTTGATATGGAATCACAGTTCCAAAGTAAAGCGATTTGCAACAACAAGCTAGATAAAAGTTTACTTCTAACCAAGCGGCTGCCTAGCAGGCTCAACAAACTGATACAAAACTGTGAACAAATTCGCTGTAGCTCTATTGGAGAAAATTCTACAAAATCAACACAGCTATTAAATATGAAATTATGTACTAATATACGAGCTAAACAAACTAATATGAGTAAAATAACATTTTAATTCATTAGATTAGTTACATTCCACTGCTCACACAGTAACCAACATCTTTGGTGATAAATATATATGGAGCTGTGGCTCCGTGGTCTAGGAAAATAACTATCAACTAGTAAGCCATAGGTTCGAGTCCCGCTCCAACTACCACGGTTCGGATAACTAGGTAGCATCACTAGTCCTTATACAATAAGGTGTGGCTCATGGTCTACTGCGAGGATGTGTACTAAGCGGCTGAATACGTTTCTTCTTCCCTGTTCTTTCCTTCTTGATATATGTATGGTAATTAGTTTCAAGTGCAAAATTATACAATGACCAAAACAAACCTGATAAAGTTTTGCTCTGTCTTAGCCACAAAATGATAGTACATGCGCATCAAGTTGACAGCAACAAGAAGAGCCAGTCCAATGTAGGCAATAAACGAGATAGCGGAAAAACACATCAAACTAAATTCCATTGTTAATAAGAGAGCTAGTACAACGCCAGATATCATTGGTTTTCGCCAGTATATTATAGAGCGTACTGAAAATTAATATTTTCGATAAATTTTAAACACCAAAGGATATGGTAAAATAAAAATGAAAGTGATCCAATAACAAAAGGAAGAAATATGAATAACTCTAATAACGATTGATGTAGTCTTGGCCAAATTCAAAACTTTCGATCAGAGCATATAAATTTTTGTAACTCGTATATAAGTGCCATGGGAGCCAGTAAACGAAGATTCAGAAATTGCATCACTTAAATCAAAAGTTAAGCAAGAGATCTGACTAAATACCGAGGAAACTGTTATGATCCAGGGTACATGTAATGATACAATGCTCCAACGCGATACAATTTATAACTTCTCAGCTTGGTATTCAGCTGACACCAGGAGACGATGGGATTGAAAGTATATTTACTTTAACCAAGTAATCATAATTGAAAACTCAGTCCTTTATATATCCTTAGATGATCTTGATTAGGGAAAACAAAATAGCATATTAAAGTGTAAAATGGACCAATCAGCGTCTAGTATCCTAAACCGCGGTAGGTGTAAGCAACAGCATGGCGTAGAAAGGGCGAGAAAATAGGGTTTAAATTGTTCAGCGATAATATATACATATTATACGTTAGTTTTTCTTAGGGATTAGGCATTCCTAACAGAAACGTATATTGAATGTATTCCCTTGTTTAAAAGTGGTAGTCTGTTTCGTTAACCAACACACATGATACAAGCGAATTACTTTATAAGTCCAGTGTATAGCCTTATTACGCATAAAATACGTCGATTTATATACAAATGATTGCACCCTGAAACTAATGAACGGTTTTGCCCCATATTACAACTACGTTGTAAAATTACCATACGTACATCCTACACACAAGTCAGTGATAGAAAGTCATATAAATGCAGTAACCGCTTCACTTATCTACAAGGTTGCAACAAGTGCCAAACAGATTCTGAGCGAAACTTTAAGATTAACCATTCCGCTCCAAATAAAAAGTGAGAACATCTAAACCCCACCTATTTACAATCCCTGGAGCTCGATTTCGATCCTATATATAAAACAGCCAGAATTGAAAAACTCGAAGTCCCTGAAATTTATTCATACAGTTACTACGAAACTTAAGAAACGATTGTCCCTAAACTAAGCATCATCTTACCTTTATCCGTCATCGGACAATTACCTGAGCACGTCATTTTACCTGAAAACAAAGAAAAACAAAAAGCATGCAGATTAATTACACAAAAGTACCTCACGATAAAAAATAATAAGTGGATTCACGACAGTGAGGAAGATTAAAACTTGTATGCTCACCAGAAACCGTTACATTTGGATAGCATTCTGAAGTGTAGACGATCGCACAACCGTACTAAGCCAAACTAGCAAATACTTTCAGTAGCCCGTCAAGATAATCGCCATAATCGTCATATCACCTTCGTTACCGTGGAGAAACAAACCATGTACATTACCTCTTGACAGTAACGTTGAAATATAGACATCAACGTTCTCACAAGTATTTCATGTACATAAACAACTAGGAATATAAATGCCCGGAGCACCTACCTTATATACAGGAAGAATCATATATGGTCTTCGCTGACTGATCTCAATCAGTTTGTGAAAAATGGTGACAAAGAGCTTAGGTTACATGATCATTGGTCGAAGCTCAGGAACAGCGAACTGCAGAAGACCAGGTAGGTTTCAAAATTCTACGTGAATGTATCGACCAGAGATTCAGCATCCATCAGATTCTAAAATCCATGGACACTTACCAACACCTGATACTAGATGTATTTCTCGACCTGAAGACGGAATTCGACTCCGTCGATTGAGAGGTCCGATGACAGTGTATCACTGAAGGAAGTGTCAGACAGGTACATCACCATGTCGAAAGTTCTGTATTCAAACTCCCGTAGGTGTGTTATAGCACATGGTGAGTTATCAGCTGAGCTGTGTACGTTAAGTGGTGTTCGCTAAGATGTCCTTCCTTACATTCTTCGTAACAGACACACTGTTAGGGATATCTATATACCTTATATCCCATACTTACAGTTTGGGTATATTTGAACTGTCTTAATAATTATTCTTTGTCTTTCAAGGTTACTGTGAACTCTATAAAAAGGGTCCGTTTTCAATAATAAACGTTTTCAGTCCGAGATACTGTAAACTCATCTGATTTCCAGTTTCTTGATTTCTCTTTGCGAATCACTTAGGTTGGATCGTCTCAACACTCGACTATCAATCGTTAAGTATTTCAGCTCGTTCTCGCAATTCGGTATCATAACACATACTTCTGGAGGTCTCCTCTTTGTGACTCCAAAAACTTGCGTGGTTATAGGTGACTCCTTGGTAGATCTACAGTATGCAGCTTATATATTCCTGAGGACGGTGACAAGATGCAGTCTTCTAGACAATTTGAAAATGCACGGAACGCGTTTCTCACCATCTAAATTCCCAAGTTAACTGCTTCTTGCTATGTTTATCAAATTCAACTTCTGTGGAGTCACTTACGTTGGCTGATATTCTAGGAATTTTATTTTTTGTGCTCGTGAACACCTCCTAGCACAGTTAAGTAAAAGTGTAGTGAAAAATCTAAATAGCTTGCGGCTAGCCCACTTAGTTCAAACAGATTATAAAGCAAATAAAAATCTATCATTTGCCGCAACCCCATTAATTTGTCAAAGGCTACAGGATACAGAATAGAAGCTGTAGTCATTCGCTGTGAACAGCTGGAATTGTGGCCAGCTTTGCAACAGGCAACTCTCTGGCGTGACTGATTTTGACCACCCAGGACCATTTTATTGCCTACATTATTGATTATTTTGAACTGTATTAACAACTGACCGCAATGTATATCCTAGTTGCAAAATATGGATTTGTAACTGTAGAACCTGAAGTTATCAAAAATATTTTTTATTCATCAAACTGTCTTTTTAAATGCAGATTATCGTTCCAGAACCTGTCTTCGCTAGTGCTTTGTCTAACAAAAAGGAATAAAATGATTGAGTGTTCTTACCAGTTCACTTGAGAAGTCACACCTGCTAGGGTCGGTCATTGACCGACAAGATCTCGACACGCACACAAAAGGCTCACTCGGCTTTCATCAACTTACGTCATCTGTGGAGCCACTATGATATCCGACTCCCTACTCATCAAAATGTTGTGCTTTGCAGATTGCTCTGTTCTACTAAATGACTGTGAAACGTGGTTACTAAACGTGCAGAAAGTGAGAAAGCCTCAGATGTTCGACCGCCGTTGCTTTCGTAACATGTGCCATGTCATAATGTCACTACATCAGTAATTTAAAAGTCGGAGGCAGTGTTTTCAGTAGGAGGGGGGAGTTAGATGACTAAGCTATGGAACATCATCGGCTCAGGTAGCTGGGACATTTGTTAAGCATATCCAGTCACCATCTACCCCGTCGCACTATGTTGACCGAAGTAGGTCCAGGCTGGAAAAGTTAGAGAAGGTCAGAATAAAAAAGCACCAGTCATTGAAGTTTGACTGTTGATCGGAGTCACATGGCGGAATGTAGGCTTCCCGGTCAAGATCCGCGCGATAGCAGAAACCAATGGTTGCAAGCTTTAGGTGATACACCTCAGAATTGATGGCAGTGGTGCAGACGTATGTACAAATTATCTTAAGTCGAATTTCATAATTATTTCATTCCTCCTCGTAATCTTATTATGACTTTGTCCTAATTTGATAAGTTTCTTCTTCCTCTATCTTTCACCTTAGTACCTTCTAAGCCGGTGCACTGGTTAAGTGTGGTAACTGATCGTTACGCAGTATTGTCAGGTCCTAATGTTGATATTGACCGACCACCTATGCGACACAAATGATTGTATGACGGAAAAAAATTTTACCATCAAATTTACACAGCCACATAAGTATCAGACTCAAATCGTTAACTTTAGTACTACGTGCTCTCAACAAAAAAGAACATGCCACTTAAACTATTTGTTGAAGACGAGAGTTTACGATGCATAACAGCCTCTTAACCGAACTTTTTCACATGCGACGAGAAGTGCGTAAGTCGTACCACCAAAAGATGAAGTCACTTGCATTCCATTTTCCTTAACTAGTTGCTTTTACATTTGTGATGCCAGCCCGTAGATGCATTAGGTATCCTCTCTAAGAGATGAGTAGTTGCACACGAGGGTTAAAATAAAAAGCAATGTGATGGGAAAGCATAGCCTGTTTGCAACATTTTAGATTTCCATCTTGCAACACAACCAAAAGCATGAACCTAAATAAACACCTTTTACTGATTAACAAAACTAAGTGAGCACTGTAATGGTCTTATGTTACTTTTTTAGGAGACTCATTCAGTTGACGTTTTGACACTCGATTTCCAAGTAGCGAATCTTCGATTTAAACCTAATTCTACATACCTCGAGTCGTGCAACTAAGGAGTATAATAAACTTTCATAAATTTGACGTGGCTTATAACCCAGTGCATAAATCTTTATACTGCGACGTCAAGTTAAATTATCATTTGATATTCTAATATTCTGAAGCTGTGTAGTTGCTTAGTGAGTATAATTCATAGATATGATTGTAACCTTTTATAAAGCTGGATACAACAGAACTACTGTCATTAGTATGTACTGATACATGATGTTATATCCAAAATGCAGTCTGTATAAGCTAACAGTTATTAAATGGAACGAAAACATGTTTATTCTACAGATTTCATTACATATCTACGACAGCTCCACTGGTTTTGTACAGAAAATGTGTTTTACAACTATACAAACTGTATTCATATGCATCTAACAAGATGCGATCTTACTATCAAAAGTACCCATGAATGTGAATAATGTGAAAAATAAAAATGGAGTACATTTATCTGTGGAAAAATAAATTTATGAACGTGCAATGAGCGATAAGGATCTTTTTAGGAATGCGTATAACAAACCACGAAAGTGAAAGCAGTTGCCGCAAGCCATCATATCGAACAAACTCAAATTTATCATCATGAGTACTGGGTTTCAACCAAACAGATTCGTCAACTACCTTTAAAAAACCCGACAACGATAATTCGTACGCTACAAAATGTCGCAACACATGATACGCGTAATTAACGCACATACCTGTAATTAGGGAATGTAAGACAGTTATGTGAGACGGAGACAGAGCCAGTAGAAGTCAGAGTTACGTTGGGCTTCCCAACAACTAGTGATACTAAAGCATAGTCTTTGCTGTTACAACAGTACGTCAAAATTGAAAATCGAAATCTACTCAGCAACCACGTGCACATTCATGCAGTAGGCAACGAGCGACAGCTTTTGCGTGAGGGCTAGTGACACTACCTGGCTGACCAACCCTCGATAGGTGCAGCAGTGCTCGAACCCGTGACCCACTGGTTGGAAGTCATCTCCCCAAACCAATGGATCATAGTACATCGCTAAACTTAAAAAATTGGGTAAAAACATCTAAAACAATAAATACACCAACAGAAGACGTAAGGGACTATGTCGTACCCTGAGATCACAACAGTCACATCTGCACCGAAATCTAAACTTACAAGAAATCCCATGACCCTTTTCTCCTGCGGCAGGTGCATAGAAACAGCTCAGTCGTTGAGAAAGGTGAAAGTCTAGTCATTCAACTAGCACCCACACTTAAGATACAGCTTGTGAGTTTTGGTAAGTACGGACCAGTCTAGATGAAGCACTTCATATGAGGCTTTACATAAGTATAGAATTCCTAAAATATCATATATACGATATTTTAGGAATTCCATCTCAGAAATGACTTTTGAAGATTAATTATAGCGATTTTCTCACATTTGGAAGGATAAATTAGTCTATGAGGGGCATTGATGTCATCCTTGTAACGTAATAGCCACAGAAACGGTTGCAGATGAAAGCCGGAGATGTCAATTATTAAGCTGCTAGTTAAAATGAAAAGAGCACGGTATTAGCTTAGTTCAAGCACATTCTAGTCCTGAATGAGGCAAGAGACTCCGTATGAATAAGTTTACCCTCTGGATCGGTCGGTGCAGATGTCCAGTTGTAGGAAACTTAGATCCACGATCAATCGATTGGGACAGCCTAATAACAGTAGCATGAAGTACTTCATTTGACCACAAGTTGTTAGAAACCTCTACTTTCTTGGCTTTCATACAGTGAATCAAAGCAGCCACCTAAAGTGACTATCACCTTTCCCACTTAGTTTTAGACTAAATCTCACGGA